AGAGAGAGAGAGAGAGAGAGAGAGAGAGAGAGAGAGAGAGAGAGAGAGAGAGAGAGAGAGAGAGAGAGAGAGAGAGAGAAAGGAATACTGCAGGGCGTGCGCCTGGAAACGAGCGCGACACTGCAGGCAGGCAAGCATGCGTTCTATTTGAATAGAACACCAGTCTGTTCGAATAGAACAAATGTGCGTACTATTTGAATAGAACATACGTGCGCACTATTTGGATTTCAGGGGGCGACTTCGAGAAATCGACTTTTTCAGGGAAAGTTGAATAGTGCATACGTGCGTTTTGTTCGGGGGGAGACTGTAGGTGGAAGCCTACTAGATGTTGAGGATCAGCTGGATCCGCTATCAGCAGCCCCCAATGTGTTGGAGGGGCGAAGTATTAGAAGGTACCGACAGAACAGTTTCTTGTGAATTGACTTGCACCTACGAAATCAGATTGGGCGCAAGTCAATTCACAAAAAAGCTGTGTTACTACCCGGGCGGCCTGGGATCCCTCAGATTGGCCTGGGTGGCCGGGCCGGGCCAGGTCCTGGCAAAGTCCCGGTCAAAGGTCCCGGGCAGTGCCAGAGCAACGAAAAAACAAAAACCAAACAATCTGAAAAAAAAAAGGTCATGCAGAATTGCAAACCAAACGTGATCTTTAGCCCGAGGGTGACCACAAAATTTGCTATGGAATCCGAAAATAAAAATAAAATACTCGGGGATTCCTGTCCTTAGGGACATCCGTTAAAATTGGAACGATACAGAGAAGGAAGATTAGCATGGCCCCTGCGCAAGGATGACACACATTAATCAATAACTGGTCCAAATTTTTACCAAAAAATAATAAAAAAAACAATTGGCCCCATTAGGCCACTGCCACAAAAAGAAAAAAAAAGAAAAAAAAAAAGGGACCCCCGTTTTGGTGTTGTCCCAGCACCCCGGGCGGTTCACTCCCAGTGCAAGTTCACCCGGGTCGCCCGGCCGGGCGGCCCGAGCCTGACGACTCTCGTAACATAGCTGAAAAAGCTAAGAGTTCGTTGTCGGTTTGTTTACCACACAAAAAAAAACAGAGGTCATTAAGAGCCAAGAACATATTAGAGGTATCACCGGCAAAAGATTGCCCTTTTGGGCAACATGACGGTGGTAGTGAGAGACCCCCGCGAACTAAATTTCTATTTGAATCCAAGCGCAAGCGCTTTACCAGAGCGGAGCTGACCACTTGCCCGCCTGACCTTATCATTGTAAAATTGTTGTCCAACATCTGCTTGGCATTGTGAGAAAGTCTGTATCTGAGATGTGGCCACTAATGTGTAAGGAAAAAAAAAAAAAAAAAAAAAAAAAAAAAAAAAAAAAGACAGTTCTGTCGACATATGGGAAAGGTACTGGTGGTCCAAGGATCCAATGAAGCGGAGAGTGTTGGCATCCCATTAATTCCAAGCGCATTACCTTTTCTTTTTTCTTTTTTAGCGATTTTATAAATTTTTATTTCAATCTAAGCGCAAGCGCATTACCAGAGGGGAGCTGACCACTTGCCCACCTGACCTTATCATTGTAAAATTTTTGTGCAACATCTGCTTGGCATTGTGAGAAAGTCTACACCCTGAGATGTGGCCACTAATGTGTTAAAAAAAAAAAAAAAAAAAAGACACACACAGAGAGACGGAAGGGGGCACACACGGCTTTCACAATGTTGGGCATAATCAACAACACCCGCTATTGTCATGCCCCGAATACATTGCACATGCGTTGTGAACGAACACAACGCACGGGGTGCTTTATACTCGAATAGAACACAACGCATGGGTTGCTTTATATCCGAATAGATCGCAGGCATGTTCTATTTGAATACAAAACATAGTGTTGTAAACGAATACAAGGCAGAGGAGGCATAGGCTGCTTTCTATTCGAACACAACGTACGCAGGTTCTATTCGAACAGCAGTTATATTCATATACAGCACCATGCGTTCTATTCAAGCCCTCGATGTTTTTTTCTTCGAAAACTCGAATACAACACATATGTGTTATGTCCGGGCAAAACGGTAGCCTGGTTGAAAACAAACCTTCGTAATAATCAACAGCATACTCAAAGATCTGATCGGTTTTACCGGGCAGTTCTGTTTGTGACGATATCTACTACGACTTCGCTAGCTTCCTGCTACGGTTTTCTCCGGTCAGGTCGAGCGGCAGTGGTCGGGGCCGT